CGCTCGAACTTAATGATTCGACCTTTCAACTTTTTGTATAGAATTTGATTAGCTTGGTTAGCTTTAAAGTAATATTTATTCGTGGAATTTTTAATTTCACTTGCAGATTTAATTTGTTGATCTTCTACTTGCAAAATGTAGGGTATGAGAAATTTGTGTGCAATCCCAAAATGTTTTGCTCTTAATTTAATATATATCACTATTTAAATCTAAGTTCTCTATTTTTTAGTTATTCGTGGTAATATGTTGGTTCAACACTAATCTATCTTCAGACTATAAATTGTCAAAAATAGTTTGAAGATTATTATTTTTCCTTGAGTTAAAAGTTATTTCATAGTTTAAGAGTGATGCAATTAATCTCTTTCACTTTCTAACTGACCAGAAGCTTCAACCTTTTAATTTATCATATTACACTTTTATTTTATTAATATACGTAACGTTTATGAGGTTATAAAAAAAATACTTATTAGAGATAATATACACACGTGGCACGCATGCCTTAAAACTAGTTGTTATTAATTAAGCGATGAAGCTAGTATAAATCAATCCTCATAAGAAAATTATATATCTGCATTTGCACCTAAGATTTGCCTAGCAGTAATTATTTTATTAGATTATTTGAATTAATCAAGGATTGCTAGTGGAAAAAGAAGTAGGCTGATTTTAATTATTGACAAAACATGGCTAGCACTTGTATTTAATTGACAGTTGGCTGCCTTGAAAGGAAATAGACCAATTTATAACCTGTTTGGCCAAGCTTTTTTTTGGCCAAAAGTGCTTTTATTGGCAAAAAGTGCGGCCAAGCTTTTTTTTGGCCAAAAGTGCTTTTTTTGGCCAAAAGTACTTTTGGCCAAAATTTGAGGTGTTTGGCCAAACTTTTGGAAGGAAAAAAAGTGTTTTTGAGGAGAAGTAGAAGCAGTTTTGGAGAAGCAGAAAAAAATAGCTTCTCTCCAAAATTACTTTTCTGAGAAGCACTTTTGAGAAAAATACACTTAGAAGCAGTTTTCAAAAGCTTGGCCAAACACTAATTACTGCTCAAAAGTGTTTTTCAAATTAATTAGCCAAACACAAACTGCTTCTCATCAAAAACACTTTTTTTAAAAGTACTTTTGAGAAAAGCACTTCTCAAAATAAGCTGATTTTAGAAGCTTGGCCAAACGGGCTATAAGTAAGCGAGTGATACTGTCTAATTTGACGAGATTTTTTTTTTCCCCTTTTTATAATTAAAAAGAGTTTAGCGAAAATCCAAAAAAATAAAAAGTACTGTTTAAAGAAAAGGCAAACCACAATAGTAGCTCTAAAGAAGCTTCATTATTAAGGAAAAATATTTAAAATCAAGAAAAAGAATTTAAATAATTTTTTAATAGTATTCTATGCTTTACTCACCATAAGTTTCTCCGAGTGCATCTAAGACAGTTTATCTGCCGAGTTTGATGTTATAAATTTGTTTACTTTCTTAAATGTGACACCGCTTATACAAAATCTTGCGTACGCCACTGATTGAAGCAATATTAAAGTTGTCTCTGTATGACATATAGATTATAGGTTTGAGCTGTGGAATCAGCTACTGATGCTTCCACCTTGGTAGGCTGCCTATATCCAGTGGCAGATCTAGGAATTTAAGTTCGTGGGTGCTTAGCTTATTTTGACGTAAAGTTATTAGCAATCACATTACATAAATGCATAACTATTTGAACACGATGATGAAAAACGTTAACGAGAAAACTCATAGTATTAATATTATAGACGCCGTAAAAATGTGATGGATAACGTCGCTGACAAGAAAAGAGATTGATGCTTTTGTCCCTTCGGGAGGAATTGCTCGTCTTCAGAAGGGTCGAACTTTGGAGTCCTTTTTCTTTTTCTTTCTTTATAGTGTATTTCATTTTGTAAAATAAGAAGAGATAAAACAAAGTCAGCAGAAAGGAATTCTAAAAAGTAGTATTGGGTAAAAAAAAGTTACGGGTGAAAACTGAAAAAAATGAAAAAAGAGAAAGTAGCTTGATAATATAAGGAGAAAAAAGGGGAATAATTTGTTTGTTTTAAAAGGCTTTGTTGGGAGAAGGATTTGAACCGTCGCCCATTCAATTTTCGTAAACTTCCAGCACCCTCCCTTAACCAAAGAACCCACTAGACTTTTTGTCTTATGGGTGCTTTCTGCTTTTTTATATTCGTTTTTTCAAATTTTCTACACAATTATATATACTTGGAGCCGAGGTTAATGGGTGCTCGAGCACCCAAATTTAATGAGTAGATCCGCCCTTGCTTATATCACACCCTTTGAGGTGCGTTTCTTTCCCGAACTCTGCAAACACGATATACTTCATGCACCGAGCTGACCTTTAATGTATATAAATAGGAACCAATCCCAAAAACTTAAGAGAATTGGTGCAAGAAGCTTCCTTGATTTTTGTAATACTCTAGAAGAAATCTTAATCAAACATGCCAATAGAATTTGAACAAAAAGATAAATCCAAGAATAAAAGCCAAACTTTTGGCTAAGAGGTCTTTCTTATTTCTTACTATCATAAAGTATGGTAGTACTACATGCTTAACTATAATATGATTCTTAATACCAATTGCACTAAAAGTTGTCAAGAATGTTACAAATTCATAAAGTTATTAGGTTAATTTATATTGTAGTCAGTTATACATACAAACAGAAAACGATACTAGTAGTTAAGTCACCATAAAAATATTTACAAGCTAACAATATAATTTCAAACACGTAAAATTATTTGAGACAAATCAATAATTGTCATGTATATGTAAGGATGATACATAAAGGTGCAATTAATAATTAAGTATAATACATTTTAAAGCTTATAAATACTAGTAATAAATGAGCCCTTTTAATTTATTTGTGCAAAATGGAAATTTAATGTTTAATATAAATTGATTACAATGATGTATTATTTCAACTTTCATCCTCACTTTATTTTTTTTAGTATGCAGTCCAAATTGATTGGTCCGACTAATCTGGATTCACGTCATTGAAAGCTCACTATTGGCATATTAAGAGGACTTTATTCTTAGGATTCAAACCTGAAAACTTCAGGCTAAAGGACATGAATCTTTACCTTTATATCACAAACTTCTGTTGTTATTTATCAGAGCTTAATTTTTATTTTCTTCATTACAAGCTTAAATTAAACTATGTATTATAATAGGGGTGGCTTCATTATTTTATGGCGAAATTGACTCAAGATCACGGTAAGCAGATTTTCTAATATATTAGTACAAAACAATTAAAAAAGACCATGTCAAAATACTAGTATTAAATTAAACTGTTCCAGAAGAAAAAAGCCTTCAATATATTACTGGAAAAGAATTAGTTCGCATTCAAGATTTTAATTTTCAAGAATATTCTATACATATATAATCTGTTCAATCCATGACCAAGCCATTGCAGAAATTTGGTGCTCTTGTGGTCCATATCCATTATTTCTCCTTTAGTTGTTCCTTACCTGCCCATTTACTTCATGGGGCATGTTCATTGAGGTGAGAAAGGTCAACCCCACTGCAATTTAAAAATCTTATTTACTGCTTATTGCTCTCTCCGATCTATTTTATTTGTCGTGGTTACCAAAAATAATTGAAGGAGATTCTTGGAGCAACGATAAAGTTGTCTTCGTGTAATATATAGGTTGTGGGTTCGAGTCGTGAAATCAGCTACTGATGGTTGCATCATGGTAGGCAGCCTACATTATACCCCTTGAAATGCGGCCCTTCTCTTAACCCTGCATGAACGCGAGATACTTGTATATCGAGCTGCCTTTTTGTGGTTACTAAATATAATTGGTCCAAAATACTTGTCATTTTAAAAAATCAAGGTAGAATTAATTTTGTTTTTCATATTACCTTATTTTATAAATGTGGAAAGAGATTGATGTGGTGAAAGTACGAGCAACATTAGATTGAGATCAAAGAATAAATAAAGATAATTTAATCAAATTATTCTTATATATATATATAGTATTTTCTTAAGGGGCATACAAACGACACACGTGACAAGTAATATGCACCAAAGAAAGTAAGTGTAAAGAGTTATATATTATTAATGTATTTTATTGGGTAGGTTATTAATCCCATCTTTTATAGACGATTACTTACAGCGATTTTTAAGGTGAGTCGACAGTTTATTTATACTGTTAGTTTAAAATTATTATAATTATGCGCGAATCCTAAGTGAATTGAATTAAAAATAGTGGCGCATGATCCAAAAATCAAGTGATATCTCAATATATTCCGTTAAATATTAAAATGCATCTTCCACGTTCATTAGATAACTTAAGATTGTTAGAGAACTTAACTTTGTAGTGCGTGATTTAAAATTAAAATATTTAAAGTCTTTTTTTTTTGAAGAAAACTGAATAGAAGGTATGATCGCTTAATAGAAATTACTTATGAAATGCACAAACACTATGCTTTTCTTTACTCTTTTTTTTTCTCTCTCTTTTATGGGCTTGGCTCTATTGAGATGAGATTGTATTTATCTTCATTTGTATACACTTTGTATGTTAGTTAGAAAATAGTTGATTAGTTAATTAGTTAGTACAGCTGGCAGTAGTTAGTGGTTAGGATGTCCAGCTGTCATTTACGTGTATATATAGTGCTGTACATTTCCTCTTTTCAGTTAAGCTTCATTCTTCAATGAAGGAGTCATTTTCTGGTCTTCTATCTTCTCCTCTTTCGGAAACTTCGAGATTCTGCCATTGTAGCTGGAGTTGTGCTTCATTGAGCTCATCTCAATTGCAGTCTTAACATGGTATCGGAGCAAGGTTAATCCTCCTCAAATCGCGAGGTTAATCTTCCTTACACTCTCTCTTCCGCTTACAGATTCTCTCTTCCCTTTTTGCTCTTCTGATTTTGACCTAGAATGGTCGATTTGCCCTAAGCTCGATCAATTTCTCACTTTTAATTGATCCACCGCATAGAAATCTAAAAATTTTAGTTCCGACCGTTTTTACCCAGTCGAATTTAACCAACTCAATGCTCTAATGGCTATCACTGACCAACAAGATGCGAATTCTGCTAATACGAGTACCACGATACCTCCGAGTACGGGAATTGATCCAAGTGATCCCCTGTATTTGCACCCTTCCGATAATCCTGGTGCAATGCTTATATCTGTCCCATTTGATGGGATAGGATATAGATCCTGGAGGCGTAGTGTTCTTCGTGGATTGTCCGTAAAGAACAAATTAGGTCTTGTTAGTGGGGAATGCAAACAACCAAGTCTGCAATCCCCAAATTATAGGCAGTGGGAACGATGTGATAACATGGTAACGTCATGGATCTTAAACTCTCTTTCCAAAGAGATTGCGGATAGTGTGGAATATGCGAGTGATGCTGTTGAATTATGGAAGGAGCTGGAGGATCGCTATGAACAAACCAATGGAGCTAGGATGTATCAAATTCAGAAGGAAATCAATGATCTCTCTCAAGGAGTCCTTGACATCACTGGCTATTACACTAAGCTGAAAAAGCTATGGGAAGAATTGAATACTCTGAACAAAAGGACTCAGTGTAGTTATGTTTGTAGCTGTGGGGCAAAGGAAGGCATGTACAAGGCTGAACAAGATAGAAGATTAATACAGTTCCTCATGGGACTTAATGAGGTGTATACTGTAGTTCGAGGAAGTATCTTATGATGAATCCACTGCCCACAATAGCCCAAGCTTTTTCTTTACTTGTCCAAGATGAGAAACAAAGGGAGATAAAACCAAATAATCAACTGTCAATTGAGTCCACTTCTTTGAATGTGAACAATGCAGGACCAAGCCCTTTTAGAACTAATTTTTTACCAAATTACAACTACTCTGGAAACAACAGAGGTCGTCCTATGTGTGATTTTTGCAAGAGACCAGGCCACACTAGAGATAAGTGTTACAAACTGCATGGTTATCCACAAAATGGGCAGAACTCTACACGATATCCTCAGAGTACTCAGAACTCCAATCAGAATTTTAGATCCAACAGAGGAAAGAGGATGGTGGCAAATGTGCAGGGAGTGCCAGCTGATGCAATGACAAGCAAGCTTGATGAATGTGATGCCCAAAATGAGAATCAGAATGTGAATTTGACTAAGGAACAATATGGACAACTTGTTAACCTGCTTCAGCGTTTCCAACTTGGCAATGATGCAGAGAACTCTAACAACTCAAATCCTACCAATACTGTGAACTTTGCAGGTATTGTTGTTTGCACATCCTCTATTGATTTTGATAAACTGTCTTGTAGATGTTTTGAATCAAAGACTGACACATGGATACTAGATTCAGGAGCATCAAACCACATCACCTTTAACAAATCTATACTGTCTGATATTGTAACCTTGCCTTATCCTCTTTTAGTTGTTTTACCAAATGGCTATAAAGTGAAGGTGACAGAAATTGGAAATGTAAAACTTGCACCTGAGATCACTCTATATAAAGTTCTTCACATTCCTTCATTCAAATTCAATCTTGTTTCTGTATACTGGTTGAGCAAACACTTAAGAGGTATGACTTCTTTCACTGACAACACTTGTCTTCTACAGGCCCCTTCACTGAAGAGGCCTCTGGAGATTGGTAAAGTCAAGGATGGATTGTACCTGTTGTGCTCTCAATGCCTAAGAAACAAAAGTCTGACTAGCAAAACTACTGTTTGTCCTTCTACTCATTCCTGTGATGTAAATAGTCATTTCTTGAACAACTTGCATCCTTATGCATCTGTAAATAGGTCATCCTTGAGTCATCAATGTCCAATTATAAATAGTCCACCACTAAATAATAAGATTCATTGTTCTGTCTCCAATGATGTTAATCTTCTATGGCATAACAGGCTGGGACATGTGCCCTTTGTGAAAATGAGGGAAATATCCTCCATACCAGTTTCTTTCCCTCCTAGACAACCCTTTATATGTTCAATCTGCCCTATGGCTAGACAGAGTAGACTTCCTTTTCCTCAAAGGACCAGCACTTCTAACAGAATTTTTGAACTCTTGCATGTGGACCTATGGGGCCCTTACCATGAGTGTACACATGACAAGTATAAATACTTTATCACTATGGTTGATGATTTTAGTAGGTCCACTTGGACTCACCTGCTAACATGTAAAAGCAATGCCCTCCAAACTATCAAAGCTTTTGTTTCCCTAGTTGAAAACCAATTTAAAACCTCCATCAAATCCATAAGATCTGATAATGGACTGGAGTTTGTTAACACTGAAGCTGCATTGTTCTTTCAATCCAAATGGATCATTCACCAAAAGAGTTGCCCCTATACCCCCTCAACAAAATGGGGTAGTAGAGAGGAAACACAGATACCTCCTTGAAACAGCCAGAGCCTTGTTATTTCAGTCCAAACTACCTTTAAAGTACTGGGGAGAATGTGTTCTGACAGCCACCTACATCATAAATAGACTGCCTACCACCTATCTCAAAAACAAGTCTCCCTTTAAAGTCTTGCACAATGAGAAACCAGATTACACCCAATTAAGAAGTTTTGGTTGTCTCTGTTTCCCAACAGTACCAAAAATCTAGAGAGATAAATTAGAACCAAGAACAACACCTCATGTCTTTGTAGGGTATCCCTTTGGCACAAAAGGTTACAAAGTATTGAATTTAGCCACCAAAAGAATCCATATTTCCAGAGATGTAGTATTCCATGAATCTGTTTTCCCCTTCACTTTCAATTCCAAGTCTCCCTCTTTTCCTTCAACTCTTCATCCACCTCCTCCCAGTCCCACAGTTGAGACCAACACAGAGCCACCCTCAGGAGGAACTGTGAGTGATCAAAGGAATGCATGCAATACACCCAATGCTATGTCACCTTCTCTTGCCACTCCTTCTTCTACTGATCATTTACACTTTTCACCTTCACCTGCCCCTGCAGACTCATCACCAACACAGAATGCTTCCACCCCACATATCTCTAACTCACCTCCAACACAGTATACTCTTGATCCAATTCCACCCTTGAAAAGGTCATTAAGAGAACATAAAACACCTACATACCTGAAAGATTACATATACTCTGTGCATCAACCTGCCTTACATGAACAAACATATGCACCTAAACATTCTGATTTTTCTCTGGATGCATTATTTTCTAAACATCATTACATTTCTGCTAACACTCTAGTCCATGATAGTCAGTCTTTGGTGAGTAGCATATGCAATAATAGTGAACCATCTTCTTTTGAGGAAGCTGCCATCAATCCTGCTTGGCAAACAACTATGGTTCAGGAATTTGAAGCCCTTTATGCCAATAACACATGGGACTTGGTACCACTGCCCCCTGGGAAGAAGGCAATTGGATGCAGGTGGGTTTACAAAGTGAAACATAGGGCAGATGGATCCATTGAAAGATTCAAAGCTAGATTAGTGGTGAAAAGCTACACACAACAGGCAGGAGTGGATTACACAGAGACCTTTTCTCCTGTAGTGAAGATGACTACAGTCAGGACTCTTATTGCAGTTGCAGTAAAGAGTGGGTGAAACATCTTCCAATTGGATGTAAACAATGCATTTCTTCATGGTGATTTGCATGAAGAAGTGTACAAGGGAGTCCCTCCAGGACTTTTGGTGGATAGTCAAGGTTTAGTTTGTAAATTGAATAACCCTTTATATGGGCTGAAGCAGGCAAACAGACAATGGTATGAAAAACTAACTGAGGCATTGTGTTCAAGGGGATATGAACATTCTATGATGACTATTCCTTATTTTTCAAGAGGAAGGGGGACTCAATTGTGTATGTAGCATTTTACGTAGATGATGTCCTGTTGACAGGGACAGACCAATCAGAAATTGATCAGTTGAAGTCTTTTCTGCACAACAAATTTAGAATCAAGGACCTGGGAAACCTACACTATTTCTTCGGCTTGGAAGTTCTATACAAGGCAGATGGTATTATTATTTCACAAAGAAAATTTCTCCTTGACTTGCTGAGAGAGTATGACTGCTTGGAGTACAGTGCTCTTGTTTCACCCCTTGATCCCAGTGTGAAACTAAGAGCAAAAGAGGGGGTGCCTTTGGCAGATCCCACTTATTACAGAAAGCTGGTTGGAAAGTTAAATTTCCTCACAAACACAAGGTTGGATATTGCTTTTAGTGTGCAATATCCAGCTTGCAGACATTCTTACCAAGGCTCTCACAGGCATCAAGCACTCTACTGTTCTAAGCAAGTTGGTTGTGCTTCTCCCACCTCCAACTTGAGGGGGGGGGGGGGGTATTGAGATGAGATTGTATTTATCTTCATTTGTATACACTTTGTATGTTAGTTAGAAAATAGTTAATTAGTTAATTGTGACGACCCGACCCGTCGTCTCATGTATTACAGCCCCGTTTCCCCCATTTACTGCTTCTTCATATTTCATTATCAGCAACGAGTGAGTTATAGTTGAATTGAATTGGTTTGGATAGGAAATGAGACACTTAGTCTCTTTAAGGAAGGCTTAAGTTGGAAAGGTCAACCGGATGTTGACTTATGAGTTAGAAGGCTCGGATGTGATTTCCGGTGATTCGGTTAGCTTCGGGGGATGATTTGTGACTTGGGAGTGCGATCGGAATTGATTTTGGAGGCCCGGTGTAGAATTAGGCTTGAATTGGCGAGGTTAGTATTTTGGCGAATTCCGGTGGATGGGTGAGAATTTGATCCGGGGGTCGTAATGGAATTCCGAGAGTTGTTGTAGCTTCGTTAAGTGATTTTGGATATATGTGCAAATTTTCAGGTCATTCGGACATCATTTGGTCGGGTTTTTCATCGAAAGTGCATTTCGGAAGTTCTTGAAGAACTTAGGCTTGAATCCGATGTGAATTGATGATTTTAGTGTTGTTAGGTGTGTTTTGATGATTGGAGCAAGTTCGTATGATGTATTGGGGTATGTTGGTGCCTTTGGCTGAGGTCCCGGGGGCCTCGGGGTGGTTTCGGATGGTTAACGGGATGAAATTTGGAGTTTAAAGGCTGCTGAAGGATCTGGTACCTGGTATTTCTGCTTCTGCGGAAATGGACCGCAGAAGCGGTCACGCAGAAGCGAGAGGGGGCCCGCAGAAGCGAAAATGGGCCTGGGAGATTTTTCCGCAAAAGCGGACCAGCGGACCGTAGAAGCGGACCCGCTTACGCGATTGGTTGACCGCAGAAGCGGTCTTGGGGAAAAGTTGAGGAACCGCAGAAGCGGATAAGTAACCGCAAAAACGGTGTCGCAGAAGCGACAAAAGGATCGCAAAAGTGGAAAGAACTGGTCAGAAGGGGGGTTTTATTATAATATTTCATCCGCGAGGGTTATGTATTTTTCCACCATTTTGAGCGAGCTTTGAGAGCTTTGAGGCGATTTTGAAGAGGGATTCAAGGAGGAATGATTAGAGGTAAGTTCCTTGGCCTAAATACTCGAGATTTTGTTAAATTTAACATGGAAATTGGTTGGAATTCATTAAAAGGGGTAAAGCTAGGGCTTGAGTTTTTGATATTTCAAATTGGGATTTGATAGGTCATTTGAGCTCGGATTTGGGAGTTCTTGGTATGTATGGACTCGTGGCGAGACGAGGAATCCGGTAATGTAAATTTTGTAATTTTTCGAGAAGCGGGCCCGGGGCTCGGGTTTTGCTAGTTTCGAGATTTCTGCTATTTCTTGGCTGTTTTCGATTGGGTATTGTTCCCTTGGCATATTGTAATGTATTCGCTCTGATTTTGATTAGATTTGACGTGCGTGGAGGCCGATTCAAGGGGCAAAGGCGTCGCGAGCTAGAGATTTCACCAGTTCGAGGTGAGTAATACTTGTAAATGATATCCTGAGGGTTTGAAACCCCGGATTTGCACATCATAGTGCTGTATTGTGGTGACTTGCACGCCAGGTATGAGCGTGGGGTAGAGCACCGTTGGGGATGGTGACTTGGTCCGTCCCGGTTATTGATTTTTACTGCGTAATTGACTAAAACCTGCTTGATGCTATCGTGATTTGGGCTGATTGCCATGTTTTGGGCTTCGTGCCGATTATTTGAATCCTTTAGGGATTATTATTGCTGTTTTCATGACACTTAGCATGTTAAATGACTTCAGTCCTGAGTTAAACACAGGTTTGAAATGTGCAGTCATATTGCTAAAGTTTAAAGACTTAAATTGCATTTTCTGATGTTTTGAGTTAAAAGCTATTACTTGACATTGCCCGAGTGGCTCATTTGCATTGATCTGGACTGAATATGGATCGGGCTGCACGCCGCAGCGATACTATGATGATATTGCGCTTGGGCTGTAGGAGCCCCTTCGGAGTCTGTACACACCCCCAGTGAGCGCGGGTACCCAAATGGATCGGGCTGCGCGCCGCAGGGGTCATGTGCATTGCATTGCATTCATGCATTGGTTCCTATTTGTACTACGTGTCATGACATTCAGCACTTTCATATCATTGGCATCCATGCTACTTTTTGCACTGTTTACCAGATACCCTGGTATTATTTGTTGATGGAGTGTTGTGCCCGAGGGGCTGACTTATGTGCGGACTTGCACTATCTGATTACGCATTCATTTGCTTGACTGTTGGAAAAGGATATTTTCAAAAGAGGTTTTTAAACTGAGCCAGATATTTTCTAAAGGATTTTTCACGGTTTTACTGTTTTCTCAAAGGGTTGTACTGTCCTATATAGCATGATGGAGTGCTCTTACGTGATTTCTTGCCTCTCAGTTATTATTTACTCTTATTACTCACTGAGTTGGAAGTACTCACTTTACTCCCTGCACCTCGCGTGCAGTTGCAGGTATCATTCACCCGGTAGCGGGTTATTAGCGGATTGAAGGTATTGTTATTGTAGCTGAGCAAGGTGACCGCCAGCGTTCGCCGCACCGGATATTGTCTTTTGTTTTCCAGAAATTTTACTTGTATATATTTATTGGCCTGTAGTTGTGTTAAGATTTCCTTAGATGCTCGTGACTTGTGACACCCCGGTCGGGTAGTAATTAACAGTTTCTAATGCCATTAAGTTGTATCTTCTATTCATTTATGTTTAATAATTGTTAGTGAAAGGATTTGGGTTAGTTGGCTGGCCTTGTCTTCACGAGAGGCGCCATCACGACCGGTATGGGAATTGGGTCGTGACATTAATTAGTTAGTACAACTGGCAGTAGTTAGTGGTTAGGATGTCCAGCTGTCATTTACGTGTATACATAGTGCTGTACATTTCCTCTTTTCAGTTAAGCTTCATTCTTCAATGAAGGAGTCATTTTCTGCTCTTCTATCTTCTTCTCTTTCGGAAGCTTCGAGATTCTGCCATTGTAGCTGGAGTTGAGCTTCGTTGAGCTCATCTCAATTGCAGTCTTAACAGGCTCACTCACACGCCTGAATACATTGAATATGTTGTTGTTGTTGTTACAGCTTCTACTCCTGCACTTGTCCAAAAGGCCGATGCTCAATTCCACTCAATTTCCTTATCCGCTACTCATTCATTCCCGAATCAATAGGAATTACAATTTTTGAGCAATAACTTGACCTTCGACAATAGATAGATAGATTTTTGTGCTGGTATGCAAGGGTGATTTGCACAAATAGGACAGTTCGGGTGTCATTTTTGATGTTTTAATCTCTCTTGTTTCATGAGTAGAACTTTAATTTTAAAATAAGTGTTGCCCTCGCTTGTTTCATAGATAACACTTTTGACTTTTAATTTTTGAGCGGCGGTCAAAAATTCAAGACGTTCATTTTTAAGATCATTGAGTGTAATTTCCTCTGTATGCAACCATATAGCTAATGATTACATCTCGAGTGCAAACGCTATATTAAGTGCTTGTAAAACTTCAATCCTCCTGGGCAGAGTTAATAACGACTTTTTCTTCTGTTGACTCATATTATATTTTTAAATGTAATCCTCTTGCGTTGAATTAGTCAAAAGGCACAACTCCATTGAGTAGTGGGACAATACCCATAACCAACCAGTCAAAAATATCAACTTTTTATAATACCAATTCTTTTAGGTAATCTTAAACTCCATCCACACATACAAAGTCATAATTTTTCATGTGATGTGTCCAAATAGAAACAGCCAATTCCTTAACACCAAAAAGTAAATATAAAAAAGTACTATCACTTTTAGCCCGTGCCATAAGTTATTTACATTCGATAGTCGAAAAAGTATATAAATTTTGCATAATTTTTATATATAACATATATATATATATATATATATATATATATATATATATACAAAAATAAATAATTTTCGGCTATTATTTTAAGGCTGGCTATACAGTGTTATTTTCCAAAAACAAAAGAGAGAACAATCCCAAGTTTGAACTTTATCAAGGCTCCATTTATCTATAAATAGAGATCAAAACTAAGGAGCCATATAGTAGTATTGTCTTATTCAATATCAGAAAACCATGGCTAGTCCTAAAATTAATGGTCTTTTCAGTTTTGTGATCTTATGTTTTGCCTTTTCTTTTGCTATGGCACACCCTCCATCTAAAGGAGTTAAAGGAGCATATTATCCTTCTTGGGCATTTTCATCTTTTCCACCATCATCTATAGACACATCTTTTTTCACTCATGTCTACTATGCATTTCTTGTTCCAAACAACACCACATTTAAATTCGAAATCGACGACGAAACGTCCACTCTCCTCTTCAACTTCACCATTACCCTCCGATCGAAAAGACCGTCCGTTAAGACGCTCTTTTCTGTCGGTGGAGGGGGCGAAGGACCTGCTAGATTTTCACGCATGGCGTCAACAGCTGCCTCTCGTTTGACTTTTATAAAATCTAGCATAGAAGTAGCTAGAAAGTATAATTTTGATGGAATTGATCTTGATTGGGAATTTCCTCAAAACAAAAAAGACATGGAAAATTTGGCTATTTTACTAGACCAATGGAGGGCTGAGGTCAAAAAAGAATCTTGGACAACAAAAAGGCAACCCCTTTTGATCACAGCAGCTGTTTATTTCTCAGTTGACTTCTTTTTATCTGGTGAATTCAGATCGTACCATGTACCTTCAATTAACAAGAATTTAGATTGGATTAACTTAATGTGCTACGATTATCGCGGATCGTGGGACACGTCTACCACGGGTGCACCAGCTGCATTATTCGACACGAAAAGTAACATTAGCACAAGTTATGGACTTAGGTCATGGATTAAAGCCGGAGCAATAAGAAGCAAATTAATTATGGGATTACCATTATATGGTAGGACATGGAAATTAAAAGATCCTAATGTACATGGAATTGGTGCACCAGGAGTTGGTATTGGTCCTGGAGATGAAGGGACAATGACATATAGGGAAGTAGAGAAATTTAATGAAGAAAATAATGCTAAGGTTGTATTTGATATTGCAACAGTTTCTACATATTCTGTGGCTGGGAATTCTTGGATTGGATATGATGATACTAGATCTGTTGCAATGAAGATAGGATATGCTCAAGCTCAAAGAATTCGAGGGTACTTCTTTTGGGCTGTTGCTGGTGATCTTGATTGGAAAATCTCCAGAACAGGTAACTTGCTTGCACTTATTTTTGTAAAGAATTTAACTTATATATACTGGTAGTGTCACATGTCCTGTCTTTTCACCTTAGTAGTCCTATGCCTACTCAGTGTGTGAAATTCAAAAATAGCCCGATTTATAAGTGATAATTGAAAAATAGCCACAGTTTCAAAAGTAATCGAAATTTAGCCACTTTTCATGTAAAGATAAATCCGAACGAAAACACTGTTTATAATTCGGAAAATATTTCACCATAATATACTGGAGTTCCAGTATAATATAGTGGACTTCCAGCATAATATATTGGAGTTTCCAACATAATGTATTGGTCAAGCATAATATGCTGGAAGTTCATACACAGGTGCTCCAATCTCCAGTATATTATGTTGGAACTTTCCGTGTGTTGGAGTTCCAGCATAATATGCTGGAAGTTCATACACAGTTGCACCAACCTCCAATATATTATGCTGGAACTTCCCAATATTGCAGCAAAATAGTGGCTATTTTTCAATGACTTTGCAAACGCTGGCTATTTTCAATTACCAATCCAAAAACTGGCTAGCCCGTGCTATTTTCACCTACTCAGTGTTTCTAAACTAGTACACACGGTTGATTTAGGATATCTATAACATGAGTTCACTACTAAAAACAAAGAGAAAAAGGTACTTAGCGGGAATTGATCCCTCTTTCTTTGGGTAAATAACTCAACATTCAACTAAGTGCAACATACAGCCTTTCTGGAGAATGGGGGCCAACAAATAATATTAGATCAGTTATAGGAAATATGTACATAAAATACCTAATTTGCCGGAAAGACCATTGGTTCACGTACCCCGTACTTTAGGCCTAAATCCGGCCATGTTACAACATTTACTCTACTTACAAGCTATCTTATCATACTTGCTATGGATATTACCAGTTTTTATAGGTATTATACATAACTAATTGGATTAGTTGCCTGAAAAATAAGACATATCGCCTACTCATACAAGTTAAAATATATGACAGTGCAAAAATTCTTTATAATGTCGGTGTATATATGTTAAATCCTTCTAACAAAGATCATGTGGTCTTCTTACTTCAAATATTTTTAAAGGAGTCAAACATATATTAAGATTTTGATTAAGCAAAATGATTAAATTACTGATTAAGAAGAAATGTTTGAGAATTAAGTGGGAAGAAAGATCTAACATATAGATTGTTCTTAACTTATGATTGATTATATTTCTTACACATTTTATTTTTTTTCTTTTTCCTATTATGCAGCTAAACAGTTGTGGATTATTTCATAAGAAATGAAAGGAAGAAGGTTAATGAAGAATTCTATATATTTTGTAATTCTCAAAATTTCTTGGAACTGAATTGATATATGTAAATGTAATAAAGATGAGTAGTTTGTTTATGTTGTAGCATCTGTACTATGTACCTTCAGCTAATAAAATTTGTTAGTGTAAGAGAACACAAACTTTAGCTTTAGAAATTTTGGACTTATATTATGGATAAGTTGAAGAGGAGTTTTGGCGTAATTGGTAAAGTTACCGTCATGTGACTAGGAGGTCGCACGTTCAAGCCGTGTAAACAGCCTCTTGCAAAAATGCAGGGTAAGGCTGCGTACAATAGAGACTCTTGTGGGCTGACACTTTCCCGGACCCCGCGCATAGCGGGAGTATCAAACGATCCAATGATCCAAATGTGAAGTGTAAATAGACCATAATTCTCAGAAATGCATTAAATATAAACCATAATTCTCAGCAATAATCCAAATGTTAAGTGTAAATAGAAATGAAGGGTATATTAAATAAACTCAATCAAACGATTCAATGATGGATAAGAATTTGGCTCTCAGGGTCTAATCCTGTACGCGCGACTGCTTCTCAGATTTCATCATCCCATGCCATAGAAGCTGAAATCATTGTACACATTCATTAATCAGTTTCAAATGTTCATACTATAAATAGTAGTATGAATTTGAAAAAGAGGACATATATGTCTAAGTATTTAAGTTCGTAAAGTTCTCTCCTTGTAACCTACAGGTCATGGATTCGAGCTGTGGAATCAGTCACTAAATTGCATTAGGGTAAGCTGTCTATATCACTCCTTGGGGTGGGGCCCTTCCCCAACCTTGCGTGAATGCGGGATGACTTGTACACCGTGCTGTCCTTTTTTATTTAATTTCGTACAAGAATTTACAGCATTAAAAAAAGGGGCAGCCCGATGCACTAACCTCCCGCTATGTACGGGGTCCGGGGAAGGGCCAGACCATATAGGTCTATTGTATGCAGCCTTACCCTGCATAAAACTTAGACTGAATGTCTAAAGTGGAAGAAGTTTAGGAATTTTACCTGCTCTAGAAAGAGTCCAGTTGCTGTCATCATAGCCAAGTGCCCAGAAAAAGTAACCACCAATTCCCTGAGTCTTAGCATACTTAATCTTTGCTGTGATGGAATTGATATCATCATATCCAATCCAATTTGTTCCAACATATGAATATGTTGAAACTGTTTCATTGTTATATACTATAGTGGCATTGTTTTCTGAAATGAATGTTACTATATCATTATATGACATTTCTCCTTGAGTTCCAGGACCAACTCCTATTGCAGGAGCTCCAATTCTATGATCATTTGGATCCTTCAATTTCCATGTCTTTCCGAATAAAGGAATTCCCATTACTAGCTTTGTTGAAGGAATCCTATTTTGTTTCCAAGCTGAAATTCCATAGCTGGTGCTAATATTGCTTGATTTATCGTATAACAAGGCCGGAGCACCAGTCGCTGAAGTATCCCACGAGCCCTTGTAATTATAGCACGTAGGGTTCAAGAAATCAAGATAGTTTCTTAGTGCATCTTCAGGATAAAATGTACCTGATAAGAGAGGATTTGGAGAGAAGGAAACAGCGGCGGATAGGATGAGTGGAGGTCTAGAGGAAGTTAATGACTCTATGCTGATGGCAAGACGCCATTCTTTTAATAGTAATGCTAGATTGTGCATGTTTTCTGATTTGGTTGGGAATTCCCAATCAAGATCAAGGCCATCAAAGCCACACTTTCGGGCTACATCGATAGTTGATTTGATGAATGCAGCGCGATTATCTTGGCAACTCGTCATGCTGGGGAGAATCGGAGATCCTGTATCTCCTCCTATTGATAGCATGGTCTTTGTTGCGGGGCTCTGAGAATGGATTGTAGCCGTGAAGTTAATCACTGATTGCTCGTCAGCTTGGCTTACGAGCAACTGGAATGATGTATTATCAGGCACAGCAAATGCGTAGAAAATGTGGGTGAAATATTCAGTTGGGATGCTTGATGAAGGAACTGTTTCGGCTAGCCATGAAAGCCAGTATGCACCTTTGATGCCAGAAGGCATAGGCGTAGGTCCTGGTGCAGGAACAGGCATATCGGGATATGGCACTGGGGCAGGAACTGGAGGCATGGATAGTGGAGTAGGAGATGGAGCTGGAGGCATGATTGATGGACTAGAGACAGGAATTGAAGGCATGGAGGGTGAAGGTGGACTAGAGTAGGGAGCCGAAGGTGCGGATGGTGGACAGGAACCTGGGACCGGAGGCATAAATGGTGAAATAGAGGGAGGTATTAGAGGCATGTAGGGTGGAATAGTTCCTGGAAATGGAGGCAAGGATGGTACAGGAAAGATTGGAATGAAAGGCGGGGACGGTGGACTAGTGCTTGGGAATGGAGGCATTGATGGTACAAGGAAGCTTGGAATTACAGGCGAGGACGGTGAACTATGTGAACCTGGAAATGTAGGCGCGATTACAGGAAAGCCTGGAATTATAGGCGAGGATGGTGAACTAGGCGAGCCTGGAATTGCAGGCACGGATGGTACTGGGAAGCCCGGAACTAGAGGCGTTGACGGTGAAATAGGCGAGCCTGGAAATGTAGGCACAATTGGTACAGGCAAGCCTGGAATTACAGGTGAGGACGGTGAACTAGGCAAGCTTGGAATTGCAGGCACGGATGGTACTGGAAAGCCCGGAACTAGAGGCGTGGATGGTGAACTAGGCGAGCCTGGAAATGTAGGCACGATTGGTACAGGGAAGCGTGGAATTACAGGTGAGGACGGTGAACCAGGCAAGCCTGGAATTACAGGCGAGGACGGTGAACTAGGCAAGCTTGGAATTGCAGGCACGGATGGTACAGGGAAGCGTGGAATTACAGGTGAGGACGGTGAACTAGGCAAGCTTGGAGTTACAGGCGAGGACGGTGAACTAGGCAAGCCTGGAATCACAGGCACGGATGGTACAGGGAAGCCTGGAACTACAGGCGTGGACGGTGGACTAGTCCCCGGGAATGGAGGCAAGAATGGTATATGAAAATCGGGAGCGGTAAGCAGTGGAAATCTAGGGAGTGGACCAGACAAGGGTGAAGGAGACACTGAAACAGGAGCTGAAACATAACGAGATGCAGAACACACTTGAAATTTTGCACCAGCTACAAGAATAATAACCAAAAAGGTTGACAAGATTTCAGGAATAGCCATCTTTTATTAAATAGTCACTCTTTCTTCACCAACAACAACATAAAATGAGATATTTATATATACTAACTAAAGCAAGATGGGAAAATAAGAATAGAAAATGCTATCTTTGGTAGGTTGCCAAAGTACAAATGTTTTTCTTGAATATAACTACGTTGTCTGTTTGTATTTTCTTATGATATTTACATAAATGTAACAATGTTAAACCTCTGATTGTATCGACATCTCTATGTAAAATAATAGTTTATTCTAATTTGATTTTGGATCTTTACACGTCGATGCAAAATTTTGCAAACAAAAATTTATTCTAATTGGATTTGGAGCTTCCTAGGCCTGCTTTATCATGGTCCGTAGTAATTTTTCAATGGGATTTTTACCTTCGTATACCATATATGAAACCTTATTACTCTCAATGTTTAAGTATTGTGTTAATTACATTTCAACATACCAAATTACCATTTATATACCATAATTCAAATTGAGGGTATAGTTAATGCTTCATTTATATTAGGCGCTAATTTAGGAGCGTATATTTTCCCATTTTCGTTTACCCGCCTCTCTCTCCTCCCACCCCCCACACCCCCCACGTTTTACCTTCAGTTAATTCCCCCATTTTCGTGTACTCGCCTCTCACCCACGTTTACCATCAGTTACTCACTATTCTACAATTTTCTTCTCCGGTTAATTTCACAAAATCCTATTTTGAAGTTGCATCTGTTTTTTCAAGTCCCAAATCATGAAAAAAATCAACACTCCCAAAAAAAATCTTCAAAAGCTACATTACCTGATATCCCATCCTTTGATTTGGGTGTTTTAACACAAAAATCACCACCCAAAAATGCAAAATCGACACATGCAAGTGAACCTACTACTAGTATTTCATCTCCTAGACAAATCCGTGCGGAGATGAGAAGCAAGCATTTGCACGATGTTGATGCTGGTGGAGGTGATAAACCAGTCGAGAAACAACTAAAACGAAAGGGGAAAGAGATGTGTATAGATGATGATTTTGTTGAAGATTCCTCTAAAATTCCATCTGTGAAAAAACCCAAGGTCTCTCCTTCTTCATCAAAATCAAAAAAGAAGAAACCCTCCAAAAAAGTACCAAAATTGGTTCACAAAAAGATTTTGGTAAAGGTAAGCACTAATTATTTTTCTTTACAGTTTTTAGTGCGATTTTGGTTGTAAAAAACTGTTCTTCAAGTGTTTTTTGGTTAAATTTTGAAGGTTAATTGTAATTGTGATTTTTAGACAGTGCATAAATGTAGTTTTTTTGTAGTTATTTTGTAGGCAGCTGGGTAAATTGTAGATAAGGTATATTTTTCACCTTTTGTATGCTGCTACATTTACCTTCAAACTAACTACAATTGATCTACATTTTGTGAGTTATTTGAACTAACTGTTATATTTTTGTAGTTATAGAGCTGTGGTTAATTGTAATTGTGATTTTTAGATAGTGCATAAATGTAGTTTTTTTGTAGTTATTTTGTAGGCTGCTGGGTAAATTGTAGATAAGGTATATTTTTCACCTTTTGTATGCTGCTACATTTACCTTCAAACTAACTACAATTGATCTACATTTTGTGAGTTATTTGAATTAACTGTTATATTTTTGTAGTTATAGAGCTGTGGTTACCCTTTTCTTCCTTATAGTTTTGACATAATGTTTACATGTGTAGATGTCCTGTATTGTTTTGTAGTTATAGGGGTGGGTAGGCTGTTCTTCTTTTAGTTGTATTTTGTAGTTATCATGTAGTTATATGTAGATTACTGCTTCTTTTTTATGCAAACTAGTAATTTAATAATTTTTTATTTTCTACAGAATGGCCATTACTTTGCACCACAAAATGTTTATTATGGTGTGCTTAGATTTCACAGTTTGTGTGATCCGAGCATACCTAGCCAGATAAAAGCTTTACTCTCTCCAAATGCTTTAAAGATTTTCCAAAAAACTTGTTTTGGTTACTTATTTGGTCTCCCCACAATCTGTATGCAAAACCAAGCAATTCATCTTCTGATGAAGTATGAATTGTCAAAGTCTACTGACTCATATTTTTCAGTACTATTGAAGGGTGAAAAATTGAATTTTTCCTTGAGAGAATTTGGGTTGATTACTGGTCTAAATAGTGTGAATAATTTTTCAGACTATGGTTACACTTCCACTTATGTTAGCCATTTAATGACTACCTATTTTCCGAACAAACAAAGGGTTGAAAAGTGGCATTTGAAAAATGTAGTCACAAATAAAGTTTGGGCAAACGATGAGGATGCAGTGAGGTTGTGCATTCTTTATCTGTTGGAATTTTTTGTTTGTCCTTCTGATAAAGACCATGTGTCTTTCATAGACAAGTTTATGTTCTTTCTGATAGAGTCTGGTAATTTTGAGTCATACCCATGGGGTATCAAATCCTTCAAGCAGGTTATTGAATTTGTCCGACATCGTCTTAATCCCCATGTACATTCTTATCTGATACGGGGATGCTCATTAGCCTTGCAAGTGTGGCTATATGAGTGTTGCTCGTCCGTCAGCACGGAGCTTGCTACGAGGTGTTCTGAATCTATACCTCGCATTTTAAGATGGTCAGCTACAAAGGGCCAGATTTGGTTAACTGCAATTGAAGAGAAGATGATCAAGCCTGAGTGGCTCAAGGTATATTTTTTCACTTTTGTATGATGCTACATTTACCTTCATAATAACTACAATTAATCTACATTTTTTTATTTACTTGAACTAACTGTTATTTCCATCATTCAGTTCACAAGCATGACTGAATCTGGAGAAGAGATTGGAGTGCTTAATCTGCCAGACAAGATTCAGTATGAAGATGAACATGGTGCTCAATCATCACAGGTTCCAATTGATGCTTCTCCAACATTTGAACCAAAAGATACAGATTGTCAAGAGGACACTGAATCTGTGACTAGCAAGCTCAGGAAGTTGGAAAAGGGGATTGAGCAGGTAATATAAATAACTACAATATATTGACATTTTTTGCTACAACTTAACTTCATTCCATAACAATTATTGTATGTTATACATTGTAGTTAATTTGTGGTATAATTCTATATTGAGCCCTGTTGGTATTGCACAAATCTTTGTTAAATTATTGTGGAACTGTAGCACTTTGAATAAGATTAACAACTAATTATATATTTAATTTTTAGGTTGATGGAAAGTTAGCTGAATTTAGTAAGGCTGCTTTTGAGGAACTCTCAAGCCTTCGAGAGTTCATAAATGTTTCTGTGAAGAGTGTTATGAAGGTGATAAACAGGAAGTACGATGTGGACGAGTCAAAGGTAAGAATTGACATATATTTTTGTACTAAAACTAATTATGACATATGAAACAAGTATACTCAAACATACCCAAAAATTGTAGTGTGCTGGTAGTTCAACCAAAAATAATGACCAACAACAACGAGAGAACAACCAGCAATTTCAGTTCAATATTGGTGATCAAGTGCATGCAAGCACAAGCAATACAGGTATCTACAGAATTCCTACAGACATATCTACAAACTTCAAGAAAGCATTATCTAATTATATTAACCCCTTTTTCACTATGTTTTGCAGCTGCAATTTCTCCGGAACATGTCCAAGCACATGTTGAGGAAGAACCAGAATTTGAAGAAGCAGCTGAGGCACAAAAAGCAGGTATACTATCATACTTTCATTACAATAAGGTTACAATGCAAAAATTTTATAATTCACACTTTAACTACAAATTCCCATATATATCTACAATTCTCATTTTTTAAATTATTCATTCAAGCTGAAGTTTCAACAGAACATCTCCAAGCACATGTTGAGGAAGAACCAGAATTTGAAGAAGTAGCTGAGGCACAACAAGCAGGTATAATATCAGAAGCTCATTATATTCACTTTATATCTACAATATTGTGCATAACTACATACATCTACATTTATCTTCAGAAGCTGAAGTTTCTCCTGGAGGTGTGCCAGCAATGGTTGAGGAAGAACCAGGATTTCAGGAAGGAGCTGAGGTAGAAAAAGCAGGTATAGTATCATAATATACTTTTGAATAGATAATTGTTGCTTATACACTTATACAATGCTGTTAAGTATGTTATTTTATATGTAACAGATATTGAAGATAACGTTCTACAGTCGCCAATTCACGGTGTGACTGTGAATGAAGTTGTTCCTGAAGGTTCAGGCATTGACAAGAAAGGTCTGACATTGGATGACTTTGAGTTGCTAGCAAACTTAACACAAATTGGTCAATGTAT